AATTTGGGGAAGGACAGATATCAGAAGGATATATATTGTCTGCTCAATGATGTTGTGCATAGTGTATCACTGATGACTTCTGGACTGTCTTTCCTGTAATGGTGTAAAATTGTATGCCGTTAAAATTGCTCGTTATCGATAATAGCATTTGTTTGGGTTAGTTTGCGTAAGTATAAATGTGTCGTTAAACCCGCAACCACCCGACTAAGCCAAGTAGCAAGATTTGTCACGTAAACAAAACATGCAAATGCGTTACTAGTTCAGCACACCGGTGTACTGAGATTAAACCCACAACATTGATATTCCCGCGATATTGGACGCGAAAGCCGACGTGTTAAACATTACTCTTGTTGTCAGACCCTGCCTCCTGCAACATTTATTTGCGACCATTTTAACTTTGAAGTGGGGATAATTTTCTTGTTCAGCTGAATACGCTCCCTTAACTTTGAAATGTTTGCCAATACGAGTACTCCCCTCCCCCCCCCCCCCCCCCCCCCCGAATGTTTATCTATTGTCAACCAACAAACATTAATTTTGGTTTGTGAAATCAATACGGTTACGATTTCCAAGAGAATTTAAAATTTATAGAGTTGACTATACGTGACCACATACATTTCAAAGCCGAGTGTAAAGCATACAGGGCGGTCCATATGTAGTGACTCACCCCACCCCTAATTAATTCACCCCTAATATTTTTGTTCCTTAGCATATTAATTTATTTCGATTTAAAGCTTTCGTGACTGCAGGGATTCATCTTCTTGGTTCTTTCGGTAAAGTCACGTAGAATGGAAATTATGTTTTATTATTATTTTATTTCCATTCTACGTGACTTTACCGAAAGAACCAAGAATATATTAATTTATGTTTTAAATAAAACTTACTTTAACAATATTACGTTTTTGAGAATTAAACGTTAAATGGGGTGGGGGGGGGGGCTAGTTGTGGGGATGTTAGAGCACAGAAGTGAGAAGATAAGATAATGGCAAGGTGCAACCTAATGTCAAATAACTATCAGCAGCAGCAGTAGCCATGGTCAGTTCACTGCTGGATGGACTCACCAAGCCAATGCCACCTCTCACCATCCCACAATGTTGATCATTCAACCAGCACCTGCTGCACACCAACTGATTTAAACACTCCACCTTGAGGAAGCGTTCCATTCCCAATAACCATTGGGATACAATAAAAACATGTATACAGTGACGTAATATCGCAGGAATTGCAGGAGATGGTGGTGGTTTGGGAAGCACTTCATACAGCAGTCGATTGAGCATGGCTGATGATACTGATGATGATGATGAAGTACAGCAGTCCGGTTTACTCCGCCTGAGCCGAGAGGCGAGTCAAAAATCACCTGGGGGAGGGGTGTTATTTCGAATGCGCAATGTATTTTTAGCGCTCAGTCACGCCACTATTAATACGTGGAAATAACCTTTATTATACATATACCAAGGTAGTAAGCGCCCTGACAATGTGTGCAATTTCCCGAGGGTACAATGTTATTTTCTTGCACGTTACTTGCGTGCACAAAGACAAAGATCCCCGTACAGCCGGAACAGAATTTTGGGGGCAAGTGCTCAGTACTCTTTCATCAACAATAACAACCGCCATTCGCCACTGAGTGGTGGCCACGTCACCACGGCGCTTGTGCCAGGCTAGGTGCACGTTAAGGCCGCCACGTGAAGTGGCGAACGCCCGCTGGCAGGAGGTCACGGGACGGATCCTGCAGGTGCCATTGGTTGACTGAGATGACTGGCCGACGCACATCCTGTTGCCCCCATCCTTGCACATACATACAAAACACATTCCTGCGGAGGGAGCTGGTAGGAACGTTGGGTTGCTCGGTCAATGGCCAGGGTCAACGGCGGCACCACGTGGTGTATTCCGCAAATATGCCCGACTGTGAGGGCGGGCACAAGCCGGCTTGAGTAGGTTAAACGTTGAGTTTGATAAGGGCACCACGGGGTGACCAGCCCCTCCCCACCCAGCCCCACCCCTTCCACCCCCCACCCAGCCCCACCCCTCCCATGTTTGGATGCACGACGGACGGACACAATAATCCCCTGTGGGCTGCTGGTGGAACCAGGAGGTTCCTACCAGTACGTGCAAGTAAGTACTGCTGCAAGTGTATTAGACGCCAAATAGTCAAGGTGCAGTCCTTATCGACGCACTGCAGAATGAGGGCTTCATTATGCCATGCGAGTCGTGGGGATTGGCCATAGCTTCACCACGCTGATCTGTGCGCGTTGGTGAAGGCAGTGAGCGGAATAATAATTTTAAGTTATGAAGCGCCCTTAAAACAATCGTTCTCAGTGCGCTATGCATGAAAATGCGGAAATAGTTGATCATCAAGAAAAGAAGGAGCGAGAAAGACGTTTGAAAATAACTGATGAAAGGCATGTTACACAGCTATGTGTTACTCTTCTGTTCTTTCGGTAAAGTCACGTAGAAAGAAAATAAATTAAGTAATAATAGAATACGACGTTTCGATTGCAACACAAGCAACCATCATCAACTACGAATTTGCTTGCTCGGTGCTTGTTTATAAGTCTATTGTCCAGGGTCATCCGCCCGCTATGGGCAGGAATTCCACACAACTCTCACTGTTCTCTAACCCAAACCTTCTGCCCCCCCCCCTCTCTATTTCAGGCCTTGACAAAGATGTGTTGTCTTTCTGTCTCTCTCTGTGTTCTCTCTGCTTGTGTCTGTCTTTGAGTTCTCTCTGCTTGTGTCTGTCTTTGTGTCTTCTCTCTGCTTGTGTGTCTGTCTTTGTGTCTTCTCGATATTTTAAGATTTGTGTCTTGGAAGTCCCGACATCGAAGGGCAACGAGTTTCAGAGTTTTGCAAAGACGCCGTCACGCCCAAGTGTGTAAGGCCCAGAGACCGTGGGACAGCGAGCAATGGACAATCTGACGATCCTCATGATCTTGATGGAATGTGGCTGGAGGTCACGAATGTAGGGAGGAGCAAGTCCATTTAAGGCCTAGACGCGGAAATACGTAGAAGTACAGTACAACAATGTATTTTGTTGAACTGCCCTCAGCTGACCGGCCACGTAGGACAGCTCCACGCATCCGTGCACGCTTGGTCGCCCATCCGAGCACTATCCAGGCTAAACCACTGCTTAGCTGCTAAGATCGGCGCGTAGGTCTGGTGAGATTTGGTGGTCATGCGCAGTTTCTCCATAGGTGTCAATTAATGCAACGTACTCCAAAAAAAAAATTGTGTTCGCCATGTTTATTTCATTGCACACTTCATGACAAAGAAAAAAGGCAACACAATCCGTAGCATCTCGTTGTTATTGCAGCACGTTTGTTGCAGGCGATGAGTGCTTTCCTCGGCGGGGTAAGGGGGCGGTGGGGAGGATAAGTCAGTGAGGGTGCAATCCATTGCTAGCAAAGCAATTAATCGGGTGGTCAAATTCACAAGACCGAAATAGCAACATTGTGAGACAATCGTGACCATTACAGCAGCGGTTTGTCTTGGCATTTCTATGTAAGGCTATGCCACATATGTTGCTTGGGTCTTGGATTTTTTTTTAAAAAATGTCTTTAATAACAAAACAACAGATTCAAGCAGGATCTATGTCTACGATAAGCCACTTCGTTGAGCTATCATGCGTGGTCAGGACGCTTCTGGAAAACAATAGTTCAATGGCCTTTACCTGGTCAAATTGAAGAGTTTTAGTCTATTTATTTATTTATTTCTCCTATACTTTGCACTCCTGTCGTCGTTAGGGTATTGTTTGCTGATGTAACGTTCTGACATCTGTGTCAAAGAGCTTCATAGCACATCGGATTTCTCCAGGATAAATAAAGATTCTGATTCTGTGAAATGGCTCCGGAACCTTGAATAACATTGGAAGAAAAAGGTGATTTGGCTGTGCAGTATAAAGCTGGCAGAAACGCAAAAATGCAAGCCTCATTACTTTGCATTTATAAACTTGCGAGTTCACTTACTCCCATTAATGTTGCTCGTCTATTAACAAGTGGCAACATCGCTGTGATTTGGCAGCATCTCTTGTACCCTAGTAGTAGTGACACGTGCTGGATGGGGTGGTATGTGCGCTCTGAACGTACGCTCGGTGAATCTGGCAGATTTCGGCCTGTTACGTGACACGGCCAAAAGGCTTCTTCTAACAGTGCTTATATTGAAATCATGAGCAGCGGTACAATATATGAACGTTAAGGCATGTGCCCAGGGATGAGGACCACTCAGGATAAATCCATCACCAAATGAACAATGTTGTAAATAGCGCGTAATTACGACTTGCCCCTTGCTATAACAAGTGTAATTTGGAAAGAGTTGGACATTGTCAACGAATGCGTACCTTTGTACACACACACACACACACGTGTACAGCCCATTTTTGTCAACCCGCTGTTGGATGAAGGGCCTCCGCACACACCGTGTGGGCATGGTCAATTATCGCTCGCATGCTTTGTGCTGGGGTTGCAATGAAAGGCATCGCTGTAAGCCACGCTAAGTATAACAATATATTGTACTTGGGGGCGGAGCCACAGGGGGGGCTGGATGGGGCTTAGCCCCCCCCTGAAATTTTGGGAAAGTCGCTAATCGGGATAACCGGCTGCTGCAAAATACTGCAGGCTGCCACCTTGTGTGCTGCCCTGCAGGCTGCCACCTTGTGTGCTGCCCTGCAGGCTGCCACCTTGTGTGCTGCCCTGCAGGCTGCCACCTTGTGTGCTGCCCTGCAGGCTGCCACCTTGTGCTGCCACCTTGTGTGCTGCCCTGCAGGCTGCCACCTTGTGTGCTGCCCTGCAGGCTGCCACCTTGTGTGCTGCCCTGCAGGCTGCTTGAGCAGCAGCCTTTCGAACTTATTAGCCACATCAGCGGCTCCGACCTATTACTTCAAATCCAATGAAATTTGTTTTATACATTTGTGGCGCCCATTGGAAAACATTACACTGGATATCTCAGAATATTGAAGTCAGCTCCCCCCAAAGTCAAAATCCTGGCTCCGCCCCTGATTGTACTATGTGTATACAGTACTGTACATTAATGTGGATACATTGAGTACAGTTCATGTGTATATGCCAATTCAATAAAAAATAAACCATTTGGGTGAATTCCATCCCAAGCTGTTGCCTGCAATTGTTGAAGCGGTACCGATTGATATTTACAGGGATGTCATGTGCTGTCCATACTCACGGTGGATTGAACAGCACTTTTTGACTACTCAGCTGAATTCTAAACACTGAGTACCACTGTGAATCTCAATTGGTAGCCGAATTGTGTTGAAGTGTATATTTTTCTTAAATAAACTGGCAGATCTCCGTGTCTCTGTCACATCCAACTCCCTGTATCCCTCATCTCTTTTCCTCTTCCTGTCCGTCTCCCTCTCTTCAATTACCCCCATCTCTATATTTCTGTCTCCCACCACCTGTCTAGATGTCTTTCCAGATCCCCGTCTTTGTCTCTCCCTCCGTGTCCTCTCTCTCACCATGTGCTTATCGTCTTGTCATTTCTCCTATCCCGTGATCTCTACTCCCTTCCCATCCGACCCCCAATAAGACCACGGTGGTCACATGACCATGGCAGCCCGTCATACATGAAACTAATTTTCGGTTTCTAATTTTTGTTCTTGATTCAATTCGGCTGGATAATAGTAATACTTAAAAAAATCAGCCAGTATTTTGCCATATTCGAAGAAAATATTCGATGACCTCCAGGATAACAATATACACTGTGAAATACATATACACATATACCACAGGATCCATTATAATGACTTTTTAAAAGCATTAGTGTCAATGCATTGATCACTACAATTACCAGGATGCAACTCTCATACTATTTGGCTTGTGTGATACACATTGTAATCATTATAAAGTCCTACGTTCATTCTCATTCACTTGCAATTGGCTAGGACATTCCGCTCATCTTGCATAAACATAGTGCAAGTCGGCCTGTAACGGTGAATCAAAACGAACACAAGTCAAGGGATTAACGGTGGGTTTGTCGGCCATCGCTACTGCATACTTTACCAACGCCGGCTACACATACTGGCACTGGTGCTGAAAACAAAACTGTTGACCCATAAATAAATATTTCGAAGAGGTAAACAGGTTGCAAAAAATCCCAGCAAAGAAGGAATGGAAGTGACTATGGAGAACGCTCACTGCTAGGATTCCTTGTCGTGGCAGCAGGGAAGGAAAGAGATGGGAAGAGAGAGAGAAAAACCACAATCAGTAATAATGAAACGAAACGTTTTTTTCTAACAATGGCCACAGTTTTCAGGTTGTACCGTTTCGCTACACGTGCTGGGAGCTTCTTCAGGCATGGAATGAAGGAGAGGAGCTCTGATCACGTGGAACTGACAGCATTTTTACGTCCAGTGTTTTGCTATACGTACTAACTTCTTCAACCTAAAAATGCATCAATGAACTATATAAAAGAAGAGTAGAAATCCATGAGGTTTTTGGGTTAGATCGCATGTGTCGTTAAAACCCGCCACCACCCGACACAGCCAACTAGTAAGGGTTGTCACGTAAACAGAACGTGCCAATTCGTCACTAGTACAGCACACCGGTGTGTTGGAGAGCCAAGCCACAACATTTACAATCTGAGTATGACGTTTCGCCAGTAATTACAACTAGCTTCATCAGGTGACAGCCAGATCTGTGCTGTACTAGTGACGAATTGGCATGTTCTGTTTACGTGACAACCCTTACCCTTACCAACTTACTAGTTGGCTGTGTCGGGTGGTGGTGGGTTTTAACGACACATTTATATATTTACGCGATATAACCGAAAAACCTCTATTATGGATTATATATGGTTGCGAAAGCCTACGTTTTAAACAGTAGAAAAGCTACGTAATTCATGACATATTGACAGATATAATGATCTGAAACATGCATATGATTTGAAGCAACTTAGAATTGCTGCTTGCAATTAAAAAAGTTTATTTGTGCAAATGACTAGTTCAAGCATTTTTTGCACTTATTTAATAACATAAGCATAAAAGTATGAAAAATTCGACAAATGAAAGTTATTTGACTGCTATATATCATTAACGCAACGTCTCCTATTGAAATGTCTTTCTACAATATTAAAATACACTTAAGAACAGGAATACAATTGAAAAAAAAATCACATTAAATAATTTACGACACCGGTTTAGCTGCTTCTCTGCCTTGTTCATTTCTACATGCTAATTAATATTTTTATTTTGTAGTTTAAATAACACGAAAAATCCTAAAGACTGCCCAATATTATACTGTACTGCAATGAGAAAATGTACATTTGCGTGTACAGCCTTTTAATTAATTCCCAGCTGGATGATGGCCTCCCCACACCGTACAGGTCATACTTTACCACGTTGATCAGCATGGGGTTGGTATACGGCGCACAAACATTGGATCATAGTACAGCACAACAACTGATTTTACTACACCGCCCTCTGCTGCCCACCACATCGCCCCAGATCCGGTAACAATTTGTTATGCATGGTGGTCACCCATCCAAGCAGAAACCAGGTTCAAACCCCACTTAGCGTCCGAGTTCCTTCTGAGATCAGGTACATTTCGGGCCATTCAGTCATTGGTGAAAGTGACAGGACAGCAAGGCTTTTTTTTATTCACTTGTTCATATTAAAGATTCCGGCCACACTACTCAGTTTCGCTTCGAATCCATGCCTGCTCGTGTCCCTGGGCCCTCCTCCATGCCTCCTCTCTGGCTGCATGTCAACCATCAGCTGACCACGAACAAAAGCACACACAACTTCAGCGCACGACATTCCACACGCCACCTGCGCTCGCGAGGGCCTAAAAACAATCAACGGCGAAGGTGACCGCTATCCAACACATTGGGAGAGAGAATTTTACATGTGCTAATGCTTTAAGATGATCACGGTGCGGGCTTGCAATTGTCTGTTTCAGAGGTGTTTTGTGAAAAGCAAGGCGCGCCCGATGCAGTGATGGACAGGTTGGGGCTGTGACATAAAATATTATGTGCGACAGCAACATACATGCCCCTTGATGTGGTATATAAACGTGACAGTCATTATTACACTCATACGCTTTGGTTCTTTCGGTAAACCTACATAGGTAAACCTACATAGGTAACTTTACTGAAAGAACCAAAGAGTATGGATTCTTGCAGTCACGAAATCTTCAAATCAAGATTATTACACTCATTGTGCACTGTGGTGAAGGATGCTGGCTTGCATATGTATAATAAACATACGTGAAGTATGTCTCTCCATTTACATTACAATTTATATTTTGTTTATCGGCCTATGAGCCTTCTGAACCAATATATTCCAGCAGAATTGGTTTTGAGTGGGCAAACTCTGAACTAGTTTCGACCTTCATAGTCTCATGGGCAGAGTTAGAAATGTTAAATAAATGCAACTGTTAAACAGGATTACACGTAGTAATCATCGGCCTCCTACCGGCAGATTAATGCCCAATTGCAGGCCAGGTGCTGAGTCACCCTTCAGGGACAGCTGCCGCTGGGGGTGCCCTTCCAAATGTGTTGAGATGAGATGAGATGCAATGAAAGTCGGTCACCGCGTGTAAAACGCTCTGAGATGCCCTGGGCTAATGGATGGCGCAGTAATTTCTGTAATAATCATTATTATTATGTTCTCAGAACTTTTTTGGGGAATGCTCAACATGAAGTAACCTTTTGCAGCAGATAAATAGGCCGAACTGGATAAGTAAATAATACATGTTGGGGAGACTGGTCATTACAAAAAATGTCTACCCCCAATGTAAGTTTGCACACACGGATTACGCTTCCGATGTTAAAACACGAGGCGTTGACATGAGTTTTGGTTTTCAAGAACCGTGGTAGCATAACTGGCTGAAGAAAGTGATTAAGTTGTGCAAAAATTCAGTTGTGTGAAAAGACTGGGAATTTTGAGATTAAAAAATCACATACACACACACCCACACCTGACCAAGTTACAAATGTAGCATGCCCTCAGCCTCTCTGGATATCATTTACGATACATTTTCTCTTTAGTTGTGACAAATGTCGTCATAGCCATTCCGCGTTTGTTGTTTTAACACTCATTTGTTGCTGTGTAAGCATACATAGGAATTTACTTTTGTGTGGCCTTTAAAATAGCTGACGTATGAAGAAGTGTATTGCACAAAACTGTCATCATTGTTACAATCGTGCAAAACTTAAAATGTCATGACCTTGCATGGTCGAAGAACACAGCAATCACGTGTGATGCAACATATAAGCAAAGCATGACCACTACCACCCCATACATCGTAGTACAAATCTCACATACTGCTCAATGCTTCTAACATTTTCCAAAGAAGATGAATCCTTGCAGTCACGAAAGCTTTAAATCGAAAAAGCTTCTAACATTTTTAAGGCCGATTCACGTGTGGGGAAATATTATGTTTTTGCTCATTTGATCGGTGACAATGAGACAACGTCACTATCGCCAACAACAATGGGGTACTAATTTGAATACGTGGGTTTTTCTCAGCCAACGTTATGATTCTTAAACAATATTTTACCAACTGCTAAATTTGGTTGCGAGAATTGTCGTTCAGCTGAACAATAATAATCGGCGTGGTGTTCAATGTCTCACCAACACAAATGTCTCACCAACACAAATCCTGGTCAGATCGTAACATGGCCTGACCAAGGGGGGAGGGGGAATCGCCAAGGCAATATATTTCAGCCATTCTTGTCAAGAAGGGAATACAACCATTGAACTTTCCCCACAAAAAATGTCTACCCCCAATGTAAGCTTGCACACACGGATTACGCTTCCGATGTTAAAACACGAGGCGTTGACATGAGTTTCGTGGTAGCATAACTGGCTGAAGGGAGTGATTAAGTTGTGCAAAAATTCAGTTGTGTGAAAAGACTGGAAATTTTGTGATAAAAAAATAACATACACACACAGGGACGTACGTGAGACAAGCACACGGAGACTTCAACTGACCTTTTCCAGTGTTTTCTGGTCTTCGGACAGAGCTTGCTTTGCCAGGTACTCTTCCCGTTTAATTTTTACCTTCAGATCAGGAGCCACGTCCACAATGAGCCAATCTATTGCTCGAGCCACAAGAAACACCAGGTGCTGCCGAGAGAAAACATAGCCACTGGGTGAGTTTACGGAGTAAACATTGGAGTTCTCGCATTTTTCACTTTCAAGCAAGGTCATCCTCAGGCACATGGCTATTCACTCATCACTCTGCAAGGACCATGTTTGTAATTTGCCTTGAGGTTTACGGTGGGTTCTGTTCACGATGGTACACCTGGTATGCGGCATACATCACAGTAATATTGGATGTTACACTCTACAGAAAGGAACTGGCAGTGTGCACAGTTGAATGTTTTATATGTGTACTTATGTTTAACCGAGTGGGATATTCATTGTATAAATGCAGTACTGTATAGATTACAGATTTAAAATGTTCATAAACAAGTCATTACGTGTTTGCTATGTGTATGTGTTAATTGATACCATAGACACGGTTGCAATTGAGATGTTCCATCCCAAAGGATATTGCAGGTGAAATATTTGAATAATAAAAATGACATCAGTAAAATTAGACGATATGAACGTGCTTCGCTTAATGCACACAACGACAAGTTCTAGAATCCACGTGACAATATTCATGATTGCGAATCCTTCTGTAAGGATGACGTATGACAGCATTCACGGCCAAGGCTGTCGATGATAGGCAGTCAATGTAACCATTACTCTGTCCACCACACTGCAATGTTCGGTGATAAAGAGACGTGCGAAAGATTTACACTGAAGAATGTCTACGTCTCCAGTGAGATACACGGATCGTTTTTTTTTTGGTGGTGCGAGACTGTCAGGGCAGATGTTGGAGGGTCGCGGGCCGACTGTGCTGCAGCTGGGGGATCTTGCAGAGGGTGGAAAATGTTGGCGAGGTGTTTTTGCATCAACGGCTTTGGCCATTGAATTCAGAAGCATTATTAAGACTATAACTTATTCGGAATGAATTCGCTTGAATTTACCCTCTATATTTGGCCTATATAATATCTGGTTATATTACACTTCATGTTGCAAAACTCATTACTTAAAACTAATTACATACTATAATCACCCAGAAATGTCTGTCCGTCCCGCGCATGACGTCACTCCACATGAGGCCCATCCCCCCACGTGACGTCACTCCGCATGAGCCCCCCCCCCCCCTCATTCATATTCATTCATGAGTAGGTGGATTTTTACACTAACGCAGAGGAAGGTCGAGCCGAATGAGAGACTCACATTACCATAGGCATTCATTAACAGCATAAATACTGCCTCCAAGTCAATCTGTATAGTTGTTGACAGGAAACATTACATTCATAACAAGAATACAAACTCGAACATCAACACTCTGGTTGTGTATGTATGAAGCTGTCAAACATCCTGGTTGGGGCCAGAACAGTCCCGGGCCATTTCAGAAAGCCTGTTGGGATTTTGACCCAGTTTAGATGGCCCTCGCACTCAATTCGTGAAAACAGGCCAATGGGTGAGGGCAACCTGAGCAGTGGGTGGGGTCGGCAGGGAAGTAATGGGTGGGGACAGTGTCAGGGAGTTGAGGGGGCACTGCTGAGGGGGGCACTGCTGTGTCGGACTGGCGGAGGTCATCACCTGTCCCGGTTGAGCCTCCCAGTTATTTGGTAGCTCTCCAATAAGCTTGAAGGCTTTTGAGGATATTTTGCATCGGGAAAGACTAGTCCCTTACCATAAGAATACGTAATTTATGTAAGTGAGTATACTTAATGTTGTCACACTTCATGAAGAGCGAGCGCAAAGATAATTGGAAGTTAAGTGTTTGCTGACAAACTCCGGTACCTCAAAGATAATCACAAAGCTCAAACGCACAGCCAGGAGCTTCCAGTAAAAGAGCGTCAGGTTTCCATCTTGATCTCGGAAGTCTCTGTATCTGTAGATTTACAAGTGACAAATGTGCAGTCATTTGCAGTTTAGCCTAGACTGTTGCTATGGCTACCGTTAAAATGTGACATTTCAGGTTTTCGTTGCTTTAAAACCAATAAAGACCGGCAGGTGTGGTGGAGCTTTAAAAAAATATGCTTTGGGATGGCGGATGGAAACAGCCCTGGAACATGACCTTGTAGAAATGCTTTTAAAATCGCTTAAGTAGGCCTCTTTATACATGCCGTTTAATTGTCCTGCACAATGTGCATTACATGCCAACAATACATTTATAATTCCCAGAGCCAGAATAATTCAAAAATGCCATCTTTGCGCCATCGATGGTGACCTTGCCGAACCATCACTTGGGGAACCTTGTCAGATTACGGGCGGCTAAAATCCAGATTCAAAACCAGGATCTCAGCCATGTCAGCTCAGTAATGTTCACTAAAGCAAGAAAAATGACGCTTCTGACATTCTTTGTTTTTGCTGCCCCCATAGTTTGTAACTCGCTTTGCCTTTCCACAGCCATCCATGATGTCGACTTTCTTGCCCCTGTTCAAGTCCAGGGCCTCAAGACCTTTCTAGTCTCATCTGCTTATGACGGACTACCTCTCTCTACAAAATAAATGTCCGCTGTTTCTCTACAGCATCTTGACATGTGGTTGCATTTACGAAGTAGTAAGTCATTTACATTCCTTTCTTAATCAACTACTACACGCTGGTCTAGGCAGTGCAGATTGATAAAAGGTTGGCCCCAGGACCAATTTCGGATATCACTCGCCAATGATGCTAGCCGTGGCTGAGAATCAAAATCAAGTCACCGCTTTAAGCTTCTATTTAGATACTATATCAATTCCGATTGTATAATTATTGTATTGTTAATGTTGTGGAATGGCTCTCCAACACACCGGTGTGCTGTACTAGTCACGAATTGGCACGTTCTGTTTACACGACAAACTTACTAATGGGCTACGTCGGGTGGTGGCGGGTTTAACGACACATTTCTATATTTACGCGATCAAACCCCCCCCCCAAAAAAACCTGTATTATGGATGATATTGGTCGCGAAAGCCTATGTGTATAACAGAATTCAAAGCAGGTATTCAAGCAAACCACAATGCATGAGAAACACCCCCAGTGTCTATCTACTGCAGCCTCTCTCTACTGCAATATGCCAAAAGAGAAATAAATTTCGCATGCTGCAAGAGTGGCACCATTGCTGTGCGCCTTACTGTGTGCACAGCACGAGCAGGAGGCAATACCTGCACATGGTGTGATTGGCGACCACGTAGTCACGGGGAGCGTAGGCCAAGGTGAAATCGACGTAACCGTCCAGTGACGACTTGTAGGTGTACCGGTAGAGTAGGCGGGGCAGGAAGTCAGAGGTGAACGCTATCAAAAAGGCCTGGAACGCAACACCGATTTAGCGCTGTTTAAAACGCAATTGGCTGGCAACTCAAGCACAACAAAAATTGCTGTCAATTGTTTGACGTAACTGTTTTCTAAGAGAAATGTGTATATTATATTGTTAGCTCTTTCGGTAAAGTCACGTTGAAGGGAAACAATGAAATAAAAATATATAAAACAATATATATATTTTATTGTTTCCCTTCAACGTGACTTTACCGAAAGAGCTAAGAATATGAATTACTGCAGTCACGAAAGCTTTAAATCAAGAAATGTGTATATCAATCAGATCTCACTTGTTTTAAATCATGTAAAATAAAGCAATTCACACATGCCAATATATAACCTTCTTGACAAACAGCGGAAAAGGATGCTTTAATTATGTTAGTTTGAACATGTGCAGCCTATTTGTCAATTCACTGCTTGACAAGGGCCTCCACACGTCATGCTAGTCAGGGGGTACTTTGACTGTAATTCACCACACTGGTCAAAGAGTGTTAGTGAAGACAGGGAGCATAGAGGTGGGAGCATTGAAGTATAGCACATACAGCACAGCAGCCTCTCACAAATTGCTGTGCATCGTGGTTCCTCCAGCGAAGCACTATCCATGCTAAATCCTGTTCAGATTCCCAGATCCGAGGAGATCGGATGCATTGCGGGCGATTAGGTCATGGGCTCTTTCAGGAAGCTTCCTCGGGAAACTTCCAGCACGTGCAGTGAAGTCGGACATTGTGCCAAAGAACATGCGGTACAACCAGAAAACACATCAGAGAGCCATACAGCACAACAAGAAACATACCTGGGCATAAGTCAAACTGTTAATCTGGTTGTTCATTCAGTTCTGTTTAGCGCAGGGGTGAACGTTTTCCTTACTGAGGGCCGAATCATCATCAGCCATATTAGATGAAAGCCATCTTTGGGAAGCTTCCTCGGGAAGCACGTGGAGTGAAACGTCAGACATCGTGCCGAACAATTCGCGGTACGACCGGAAATCAAAGCACAGCGAACGATGTGCAACGGAAAGGAACGACACTGACGTTGGAGATGATGGAGATGTGGGCGAGGCCAGAGAGGATGTCGAACCAGACGCCGATGCCCCTGACGCGCTCCACCACCGAGCGCCGGTACCGACACACAAACTTGCGCGCGTCCAGACGGATCTCCACCCAGTTGTTCATGAGCGCGAAGAGCGGGGCCAGCGGGAACGCCATGACGAAGATGGTGATGAACCCAAACTGCATCACTGTGGTCAAGAAGGTTGAGTTAGGGCAGGGATCGGCAACTTGCGGCTCCGCAGCCGCGTGTGGCGTTTTAACAACTGCTTTGTGACGTTATTTATGAACGACCACAAATACAAAGATCCCCCATAGAGCCTTAACAGACTGTTGGGGCAAGTGCAGTTAGCAACTATGAAGGCAGGCATGGTATAACACGAGGGAGAGGGTGGCCAGCACCACGCCTGACCACCTTTGTCTTCCCAACGGTGATGTTTATACACTACACCAGCTACTTATTTGAGGCCGAGTTGACCTAGGGGAGGCCCAGGACTGGTTCAAATATTCGTTATTGGCATTGGCCATGAGCGGGAATCGAACTCGCGTCGATGGGTTCATAGCACGGCATGCTAACCGCTACACTATCATTCCCCATTAAGGACCACCGTCTCGTATTTACATGCATTGTGGCTATTGAAATATTGGTTTCCAACCCCTGTGTAATGGGGTTGGGGAAAACTGAACACTCGGAAATATTTCGTGGTGCGAGGCATCCAGGGTGCGTAAACACTTTCAGGATCCTCCATGCACTCAGCACTGCCTGTCCCCTCTCATCTCACTCTGCTCACCTCCAAATGAACGCTCTTACTTCTTTACTCTTTGGTTCTTGCGGTAAAGTCACGTAGTTAGGAATAAAATAAAACAAATCACGACGTTTCGATCGCAACACAAGCGGTCGTCATCAGGCAAAGGAGTCAGCCTCTAAAGGCAAACTGTTTATAAAGGTTTGGGGATGTCATCTCACTGTATTGCCCTCCGCACACTTTCTGCCCCCAATGCTTTCTAGTGAAGACCCCAGTCAACCTTGAATCAGTGGGTGGTGACTCATTAACCTCGGCTGCCCCCAGTTTGGATCTCCTTACTCATAACCATCCATGCTATTTAGCCAGTGTCTCTGTTCGCGTTCCGGCTCAAGATATTCCTTTTTACTTGTGAATATGATTCCGGCTATGTCTCTCTCTACAAAATTAATGTCCACTGTTTTTGCGGGGTATCTTGGGATGTGGTCGCATACAGATGCAATATAAAGTAACACTGGTAATTCTATTTGCAATGCAATAACCGTCCATCTGCCTCACCCATTTCCAGGTACTCGTCGAAAAGGCCAGTGTTATGCAGGAGCTCATAGTCGTCCTCCCAGATGTTGAGCTCCTGTACCAGACGCTTGCCTCTGATCTCATCCAGCTTCCTCCGCTGCCTCCACTGCTGGATTATCCTGCAGTGCAGATCAGAGTGCAGCATGATCATCTTCTGACACCACTTATTGCTTTTGATGAAAAGCCAAAGCAGTATGTGGTACCACTGTGGATGGTGTAAGTGAGATGGTAGAAAATGGGCAGTCAAAGTGAATGAATGTGAAAATAATTATTAAGAGGGTAGAGCCGTGGTTCAGTGGTTAGTATGCTGGTGAGTACTACTCCTGGACATGGATAAAATCAGTGGCGAATGATATCTTAACCAATCCTGGGTCCCCTTCTCTACGGCTGCTATACATTTCCACGTGATAAACCACTTCGTTGAGCTATCATGTGTGGCCAGGTCGCTTCAGAAAAAGACCTTTATACGTAGTTCAGTGGGCCTTACCTGGTAAAATAAAAAAAAGTTTAGTTTAGTTTTCACCAACCGGCACTGACCATCGTGGCATATTGACCGATTAACATTGCGTTTTGAATGATGGTTAAAGTGCATTTTGGAACTCACGGGAGGATAAGCTCCTGCAGGTTATTCAGGATCTGCTTCCCCACCATGATGATGAACAGCTGTTGAGCCAGCTCGATCAGGCAGCCACCTTGGGGACACTGAACACAGCATCGCCTCATGACTCTTCAAAACATTTATGAGTTTCAATATATCACAGTGGCTCAATGATTTAACCGTGATGTTGATCAGTTGCAATGCTAACTACAGAAACCAAACGTTTCACCATGATGTTGACGGGTCTGAACATTTATTGCAGGTCGCTAAAATGCTTCACCATGAAGTTAATGAGATGCAATTTTTTTTTATCAGTCATTATTCAGAGTGAACGTTCTGCTGGGTTGTAGAGAGTAGTGTAGTTTTTAATTAACATTTGCAGAGGTGTCTCAGAGGTCAGAGCGCAGAGCTGGCACCGCTCAGATCCTGAATTCAGTGGGTTGATGGTATCAGCCCAGTCACCAATGACAGCACAGCATAATGATCATGATAAATTTGGTTTTGCCTGAATTTAGCTGAATTTCAGCTCCCAGAATAAAAAATGGCAGCTTAACTGTCATGTGATGAACATATTTGTCAGTGGCAGAGAAGGTGGAGAAGTGCTGCTCCATACCGTATGGAACAAAGGTCACTTGAAGGGAACTCAAAGGCAGATCTGTAATATATGCTTCCATGAGCTGCTCTTGAACACAATGGGATGCACTGCTCTGCGAGAGATCTAAACTGACTCGTGACATGTCTGTTCATATATGTTATCAATCGATGAATCAAGGTCACTTAATTAACAAGGTGAGAGTGCAGAGAGTGGGGGGGGGCAACGTTTGACTTGCGTTTTCATTTCGAGTTCCAAAAAGGTTTCCGTAGTTTCCTGGATACCCATTGAACCTGGAAAAAAAAAAACGCGCACCACGACAACAACTCGAAAAATCAGCATCCATCACAAACGCAATGTGAATGCCAGAATCGTTAAACGTCGGAACTGTGCTCATGGGTGCCACCTTTTGGATGATATTTAAACCAGGGGCCCTGATCACCCGATGCACACTAAAATAATCCACGAATATTTGTTTTGCATTCACATAGCTCCCTCAAGTGGAGTTCCCTTCTGCTAGCAGTGGTGTGAGCAAGCGATTGCAAGGCTGCACATTTACCGTTAGCTAATCTCATAATGTATGTACGTTGAACTTCTTTCGCAACGTACGTAGACAACCGCGCTAACGGAGGTGCGGGAAATACGAACAGTTTGGTGCCAGCTATCATACAGTGGGGCCGTGGCGCTCCAGTTATATGCGGTGAGTAGTAGTGCAAAGTCTTAAAAAAAAGCGGCGCTATGCCTCTCTAAACTAAATTAACGCGAACCGCTTGCGCGTTCCGAGATTCAGAGGTGAATGGGACCCACCCTGCAACTTGCAGGACATCTTGGAACGTGAAAGGGTTAATCTGACTATGCCCAAAGGGTCACGGATTGGACGCAGAAGTTGTAGCACGGCACTTACTTGCCCTTGAAGAAGCCCACGTACACAGGAGAGGAGTAGTAATTGACCAGCTGGAAGATGAACACCTTGACGGTTAAAGCGTTCTCGTGCTCCGACTGTGTCCGGTGCATTTCTGGTCAAAACACCAAAACCAAGTTTAAGTTGATTTTGTTTAACCTATTGGTTTTAATTTAGTCGTAACTTTTTTGCCACTCCACCGCCCCTCCTGTGAAGGTTGCCTGGATTGTGTGAGAAGTTGAGATTGTGGTCTGGGATGTTGAGACCTAATGGGCGAATTTTCTCTGTTGTGGTAACTTTTTTGTTATTTGTGCCTTTTGTTTTGGTGCCATTTCTTTATTAGTGTTCTTAATTTGATTGGTAGTTAGCTATACATAGGAGTTGGACATCATACATAATGAATGCACAACGTTGTGGGATGCAATTAGCATGAATGATGCTGTATACAATTGAATTATAATGGTCAAAGCAATGAAGCAAGTAGAAACCAGAAGAAAAACAACTGTATCACATGTGAAATTTAAAATATTGCACAAACATAAATCAATGTTGAATCAAAGAATAATATAAAATTCCCCGCAGCGCAAGATGGCTCTGACATATTATTGCGAGACTCATCATAGTACAATTCCAAAATTAAGTTACGGAAACATTAAACAGATATCGGGTGACTATAGTACTCATATGAAACAAGACAAGTATACAGTAAAACCTTGGATTGCGACCATAATTCGTTCCGGAAACATGTTTGTAATCCAAAGCACTCGTATATCAAAGCACTCGTATATCAGTTGTGATCACGTGACGCTCAGCAGACAAAGCGTATACGTACTACTCGTAATATTTATTTAAACATTTTGCTCGTCTTGCAAAACACTCGCAGACCAAGTTACTCGCAATCCAAGGTTTTACTGTACTTTGTAAATAGGCGTAGCTGTCCGTGCTCCCAAGGGGTGTCCTCAAATCCAGCTTTTACTCGATTAAATAACACTATGTAACACAATTTTTGTTCCTGGGTAGTAAGTGTTATTTCCTAATTGCTTATGCCTATAAAAAAAGTCAATGCAGCAGCATCAACAAAACATTTTCTAAAACAAAGATGTATGTTGAATGCAACTAAAAGTGAGGTTATCATGAAGAATCAACAGTTCAGCATCCAAATGTGATTTAGATGGGAGAGTATCCAGAAACATTTTAAAGCGTACAAAATAGTTGGAGCCGCTATTTTAGTGAGTTACCTATTATCTACTGTGTAATGCAATTCTATCCGCGATTTTGGCTATCTGCGAATCGCATCTGGGACTCTGAGAGAGAGAGAGCATGAAAAGTGTTAAGATAAAGTGACAAAATAATTTTTTTATGTATTTAATAGCTTATTTATGTATTTAATTAGGCCAATATCATTATCCGTAACATTTGTCATTCACAAGCATCTCCGGAATGTATCCCTCGCGAATAACGAGGGAATACTGTATAAATATAAAGTTAGTCTGTATCACACTCAGAAGTGGAATTTCCAAGCTCTAGATGAAAAATACACTGTATATACAAACCACTATGAATGCGCTTTATCTCTTCAGATCTCAGAAGCTAAGCAGGATTGAGCATGGATATTGTTCGGAGAGATGACCACCGTGTATAAGAGGTTGTGGAGCTACATGGTGGGCAGCACAGGGTAGTACTTCTCTACTCCATTATCTATGCTCCTCACATTCACTAACCTGTACTGACCTGTGTGGTGAAGTATGGTCAAATAACCCCCACTTTCTGCAAGGCATGGGGATGCCCTCATCCAGCAGCAGATTAAGAAATGGCTGTACGTGTATATGTACATACTCTTCGTATGCAATATATCAAATATGCAGTGTATGGATGAGGTCGGCAATTGCTGCCAGATACATTGTGGATTATATCAAATACATACCCCATCTGGTGAGATAGTCTGCTATGGTCGTGTACAAGCGCGCCATGATCACGATCAGCACGAGGAACACCAAGGTGCCAGTCATGTTCGCGATATTCGTCGCCTGAAAAGATCAGAAACCACGATTACTTTCCTAAACCACACCAAAATAGGCTATTTATCACATACCTCTACTGTTATGCCAATCAATTAACTGTAGTTTACCAATAATACATGTACTGGGTGGACTTTGAGGGGGTGGATTTAATAAAATTCCAATGCTGTTTTAACCGAGGCTCCGGACAATATAATCAAACTGGTAAACTATGATTTCTAGTCCAATCTACGAACCATTACACAATAGTTGAACACGTAGGCTTTTCACGACCAATATCATCCATAATACAGGTTTTTTGGATACCCATTGTCATTTATATGCATTCATTAATCCCACCCCCCTCATCGCTCAAGAAGTGCTCACAAGTGATGGCTCACATCTACCCCTCTATTTAAGAAACGAAACAGGAGAATTTCTCCACAAATCTGGCGGTCACCTGATGAAGCTACTTGTAATTACTGGCGAAACGTCGTACTCAGATTGTAAATCTTGTGACTTTGCTCTTCAACACACCGGTGTGCTGTACTAGTAACGAATTGGCATGTTCTGCTCACGTGAAAAACCTTACTAATTGGCTGTGTCGGGTGGTGGCGGGTTTAATGACACATTTATATTTTTACGTGAGCTAACCCAAAAAACCTGAAATTATGCATTACACAATAGCAGAAATAACAAAATAATAGCTAACATAAAAACAAATACTTTATCCATGTTGGGCTATGAATTTGCATTAAATAGATCCAAACACATTGGTTCTAAACAATATTTACTAAATGTTAGTAAAATCTGACTGATTAAAATCAAATTGGCCAAATATCCCAATTCGGGAACCGACAGAAAAATAAGATTATTTGGGTCTTTCGGTAAAGTCACGTAGATAGGTTCAAAGAAAATTTACAAAAAACTACGACGTTTTGGTCGCAACGCGAGCGGTCATCTTTTTCCTGATGACGACCGCTTTGTGTTGCGATCGAAACGTCGTAGTTTTTTGTTATTTTCTTTGAACCTATCTACGTGACTTTACCGAAAGACCCAACAGAATATGAATGCCTGCAGTCACGAAAGCTTTAAGTCAAGAAAAATAATGTTGAGACTCAGTGAGATGTTCCTGGGTAATTAAATAACACCGTTATACATCACACTTACTGTTGAATGACCCCGCGCCTGACAAGGAATCAAGCTCCACTCTTTGTAAAACTACCAAAGTACTAGCTCTGTAGAGGGAGCTACAAACGAGCTGTGGTATTGTGGGAGAACGTAATTACCTGCGTCGCGAGGAACCAATTGCCAGTCTTGAAGATTGAAATGCTTAGAAGGGCTTGGTACAGTATCACAGTGACCAGGAATATTAGAACCACGGAGATCTACAAAGACACAACATATTGACATAAAACGTCACAAATATTGGGCCAAAAACTTAACACGGTAAATATCGGCAGGATTTAAAGCATGAATCCGACTCACAATTCTGTTATCATCATCACTACATGCTAACTGCGGCTATTCCACCCATATTTAAACATTGCCACGATTCATGCGGTTGTCAGCATATTGCAGCTTCATTATTTTACAAATTTCGATGTACAGGTAGCCCTCTACTTACGATGGAGATTCGTTACGACGACCCCATCGTAAGACGAAGATGGCCTAGCCTACCCAGGAGTCTTAAAGAATGGTGATAATTTAGCAAAACAGAGCAATTTACAGTACCGTACTGTATAAACTATATACTGTATGTATATATTAATTACAATACAGTATTGCACGGTAAAATGTAAAGTAAATAAAAACCAAGGTAAATTCTTAGCCTACTTATATGAACTGCAATTTTATAGAAAGGCAGGAGATGCGTACATCCCGGCAGCGTCCCAACGTACAGTACCGTACGTCGTACGCTGCTGCGTTTGCCTGCCGCGTGAAATTTAAAATATTTTACAATTTTGTCGTATCGCCATCGTAAGATCGAAATATCGTAAGTCGGACCATCGTAACTATCTGTATATATTATACCCTCAGAGGTCAATAATTAATATCGGATTTCTGATTTTCTCGTGTGTAGTTGTGCAAGGGCGATACTATCGTTGATTATGTGATACGACTGCCATCTGGTGGAAAAATCTGGAAAAAATATTGCACGTGCCAGGGGTGCCATGTCACTAATCACAATGCAATGACAATGTTTACAAAATTATCAAGTTTCGTTATAATAAAAAAAATATTAGTACATTTGGAATTCACACCACTGCAAGGTTAGCATAAAGGCACTGTTTTACATCCATAGCTTGCAGTAGTTTCACAGTAGGGGAAATATTACTATGTGAAAGCCCAATTGAGTAATTTGTAGGTTATCTTTCAAATTAGTAAAAATGGGATCATGACGTCTGCACACAAAGGCTTACACTCTTCGAATGACGTCATGGGATCTTTTACGTCCACTGTGGAGCAGACGACGCATATTTTACAGTTAAAGCATCTTAAGTATCAACCAGGGCAGCCTGCTATAATGGAACCACCCTAACACCCTCAAAAACCAGGTTTACATTCAAAGACACAGGAACACTATGACGGAAATCATACTCTGAAAAATCACAACGATTCGTAGCTGCTCAAGTAGCTCAAACGTACCATCAGGAAGAGGACGATTGAGCCGGTGACAGTCCTTGGAGTGCGATCGTCTTCGGAGAAGTACGGTTCCTTTTCTCCCGTGATGGGGTTCTCCCGAATGAGGGGGGCTAGCGCAGCATACTCTGGCCGGGGCCGCTCCTGCAAGGGTACAGCACAAGCGAGAAGCAACGCTAGCGACCATCAAACTACAGAAATTCATAATAAACAAACTACAGAAAGTCCCCGAGTTACCATGGTCCGACTTACGATGGCGATAGCGATACGACAAAATTTTAAAATATTTAAAATTTCGCGCGGCAGGCAAACGCAGCAGCGTACGAGGTACGAATCTTGGTGAGTACAGTACAATATGATACGTTACGATACGTTCAATGCATGTGTATGATACGTAGCTTTAGCGATTTCATTTTAGGGTTACCACGATACAATACATACGTTCAATGCATGTTAAAAGTTTTTATAGCAGATAGGTTTCCTGAAAAAACTTTCTATTAAATTGCAGTTCATGTAGGTAGGCTAAGAATTTACCTTGGTTTTTTTACTTTACATTTTACTGTGCAATACAGTATTGTAATTAATAAATACATACAGTATATCGTTTATACAGTACGGTACTGTAAATTGCTCTGTTTTGCTAAATTATCAATATTCTTTAAGACTCCTGGGTAGGCTAGGCCATCTTCGACTTACAATATTTTTGACTTACGATGGGGGTTGTCGTAATGCATCACCATCGTAAGTAGAGGACTACCTGTAGACACACACTGCAGGTAAGATGTACACCGAGGGTGAATAGCTATGGCCCATGGCTCAGATACAGCCACGGTTTCACGTCATATTGCCTACGTCTGCATTAGGGCTCCCGCTATTGCCAAATCAAATATATTTAGGGATAAATATATTTGATTTGGCAATCCTGTGTTTATATTTTAGAGAGCTCAGCCACTTCCGATACTGCACGGGCCTCTTGGAGTGACAAAACACTCGCCTCTTCGTGCACCAGCGTGCACCCCCAGTGGTAGGTGAGGCTGGAGCTCTTCCTCTTCCAGTATTCCAAGAAGCTCACAGACCAGAGGGAGATGAAGATGCTGTAGAAAATCGTCCCTGGGTAGTCAAATATGTGGCCCATCTGCGGAAGGGACAACACAGAGCACTGCATTATCATCAGCGGCATTTTAATATCACGATTTGTCACCAACTTTGTGGACACTTGCTTGCTAAAAGATTGCATTCAAATTTTACGCACTTCAATAATATTTGTTGATACGTAAATTAAACAAGTAACTTTTGCTAATATCAATTGTTTTGCAAAAGTGTGCCAATTAATCAGATATGACAGTTTGCAATCCAACTTTTCGTACAGAACTCTGAAAATAAACACCACTGGCTCAATGGCACACTTTTAGACTGCGACATACAACAATAACAACTCAACATGGTAGCATTTTTAAATTCTTGGAAGGATAAAAGTAAAATGTGTTCACTCGTTCATTGAAAAAAATGGTCACCTTAGCCATGTTGCAGGTGTTTGACAGGTTCCACACTTTGCAGGTGTCACAGAGAGGACACATTTGGTAATGGCTGCCATTTTCACAGATTTCTTTTCTGTGGGAAATGAAATGGCAAATTGGATATGAGGTGTTATTTGCATCATGAGATTTATTCAATTTGCCAATCAATATATCCACAAAGGCTATACAGTATAATCGAGTGAATGGCCATATAGATAAAACAAAATACACATCTAAAATATTTGTGCATGTTGATACATTCAATTATTCACCTTATTACACAATATTTAAGATAAAATATAATCGAAAAAAGTGTATACTTGACCATAGTTTAAAATGTGTGAATCACAACTGGTCCTAATTTATAAAAATGTATTTGACAGGTGCACAATTCAAGACATATACAGTATCCTTTCACAATTGAGTCTACATTGACCTTTAAAAAAAGGGTATACTTTCATGATAATAACATTAAGCAAATGTGATGATGCTTATTACCAGTGAAATTAAGTGGCATTCCACCCCCATGTGCTGAGAGATGGAAACTCAAGACATGCCTTGGAAAAGCATCGTCCTACGAAGCATGTGTGCCCTTGAGCCAGATGTCGTCAGTTAGCTTGCGTTTTAGAAAAATTGGGTTTCCTAAAGCTCTTCAAAGAACCACAGTTGTGCTGAATTAAATATATCACATACAGCCAGTCTTGAAACACTATGTGATGATATGGCAAGTGTACAAGTTATATGCTTCATTTGTCTCATAATTTACAATGGTCTGTCAATCCACTGCTGGATGAAGGCATCCTCACATCACATTCATTATATTACGCTAGTCAGATTACACTTAGCACCAGGGACGTGTGGTCAGGGGAGGCAGAGGAGGCAGAGCCTCACCTGTCAAACTCCAATGAAAATAGCTGTTACGAAAAGTAAAAAAAAAGAATAATCAAATAAAAATGAAGATTTTTCCACTGATCTGTGTTATAAATGTAATTTCTGTACGATTTCAATCATTTTTAAAGTCAAAATCGCCAAATTTGCGGCGCTCCGCTGCAAATACGGGAAGAGACGACAGGTGAGGCAGCGACGAGCTCAGCCTCCCCTCTGATTGCGCAACCCCTCAATAACTGGATGGAGCGCGGGCAATAAGCACGTGCCTGTTACTACCTCAGTATGTCACCAATGTAATGTTTGTAGACCCCTTAATTTAATATCCTCGCCTTCCATACTCCAGGTAACTTATGTCACGTATATGTATAAAGATATTTAGGCTCGCTGGTCTCGTCATGAAACTGCAATGAAAAAACACCAGGGGAGGCAACTATCACATCTGCCTCACTGAGGGGGACGTGTCTAACACGCCCCCCTCAGTGAGGCCACGCCCCTCAGTGAGGCCACGCCCCCTCAGTGAGGCCACGCCCCCCTCAGTGTGTGAATCTGGCTCTTGACACTAGCCAGTGCCTCCCCAGCCATTGACCTCGCCGCACGTCACTGCTCAGCACTGATGTTAGCCGTGGCTGGGAATCGAACTCGGTTACCTGGGTTCATGGCGCAGTGTGCTACCCACTGTTCCACTGCTCTGCCCCGTGATATTTGACGAAATGAAAAAGACTTACACTGTGCTGTCATTGTGAAGCGTCAACCATCCCACGAAAAACACAACTAGTCCCACCAAGGCAGGCGGGAGAAGCCAGCAGGTGTAGAATCCTAATACAAATAAATGACAAATCGTGAGTGCATTTGGTATTTGCAACATTTTTGTAGCGCAGGGCTATCACAGGGGCGCAATGTTTGGCACATGAGTACAATCAGTAAAAATGTCCACGCTGGCACAGCAAAGCACACTTCATGCTTCTGCGTGGGCTTTCGTGATTGGACTGTATGGCTCCGATTTGTTTATTGGTTGTACTGCCATTCGTTTGGCCCAGTGTCCGATAATTTGCTGAATATGCGCTGGGCACTTCTTCTAAATAAGCTCTTCCTGAAGAAGCTCCCAGCAGATTAAGCAGCATGTCAGGGATCGGGCCGAACAACACGTGGTATAAAATCAGTGTGCCTCCTTGTGAAATGTAAAGAAGTCAAAGTATTCCTTCTTTATGTGTGCTATATTAAAACAGGCTTTCCTGACAAGGTGCGTCCTTTGAAGTATAATGTTTGCTTAAAATTGTATTCCAGTTGTCTCTCGCAATGAGCAGTGTGTCAAGTAAAAGATCAGCCCCCTGAAGAAGACAGCATAAAACTATTTCTGAATTTACTTCATTTTGATAGGCGCCTTATTCAAACCAGGCGGTAAACCTTTTTTGCGCATGGTAAACAGATATTCTTTATCCTCAAATAAAGTGGTGAAAAGAAAATCTCAGAATGCGAGTTACTGCATAGTCATTGGCGACTTGGCTACCAAATACTCAAGGAACAGCCAGGACAGTGACGTGGCCTAGTGGTAACGCATGTTGTGCTGGTTGCAGAAGTTCGCGATTCAAGCCCAGTGGTTGCCCTGGTTATTACTGCGGGGTTATCAACTATAAAATACACGCTGCCGGCTTCACAGTGGACGTTAAATATCCTGTCACGTTATATAAACAGAGGCCATGTGTGCTAGCATCATGGTGCAAATTTGATCAATTACTATCGAGTGAATCAAATTAATCAATTGGGATAGGCCACACAGCAACATTGGCAGACTCATGCCCACTTGCAGGCCGGGGCTACATTCACCTTGCATCATACGGGAATTAGCTGCCACGGAAGTCTCCTGGCTAGAATGCGGTAGGGACACCGGAATGGTTGAGATGAGATGTTGAGGCACTTAAGCAAGGGCCCTGTGCATGCAAATCCTGATACCGAAGACACCTTACCGAGCCAGGCGAAGTAGAAGGCAATTTTCTCCCCGAAGTATTCGCGGATGTGGTCCAGGGGCTGGTACTTGAACCAACAGCCCCAGCGGGCCCAGTATTTGTAGAGCACCTGGCGGCGAGTCATCTGTTCTGGGGCCAAGCCCAGGTACGTCCCATCGTAGCTTCCCTATGCAGCCAAACACAATAATAATCACGTTATGTATCTATACGGCAAACCACTGCTCAGTCTCGAGACTCTCTTTAAGAAAGTCTTCTGTAGAGATGCATGTAAATTCCATTTGTAGGAGCATTTAATATGCGAAAGGAAACCACGTCGAGGAAACCACGTCGAACCTCGTGCAAAGGGAAGGCTGCAGAGAAGATATGGTCCCTCAACATCCGATCAAGGCCGACCTCGGCCTTCTTCCGCTTCCCATATGGCGTTGTGTTTAAGATCTCTTTGACCTGCCAACAGAGCGCACCATGAGTGGACATGCAGCAACACCCAGCAGTTATATACTGAACAAGGCAGCCAAGTCTCAAGTGTTGTACCACATAATACTCTACTCTGGAGCTACCAGATTTCTGGGAGGTTCAACTGGGAACAAGGTGAGTTGACAGCTCCTGCCTCAGTCAGCTCCTACTTTTACATAGCCACACCCACTCAATTACTAGAACCGGCCACACGGCGAGTGGATTGGCTCTCTCTGATGGTGGCGCTGCCTATCACTCATAGGCACTGCCGACGATTCAGATAGCTCCGCCGCTTGCTCGTTTCAGGATTCGAGCATGAAGCCATAAAAATGTTAAACCAGAGAAAAATCCCAAGGTTCACAAATTCTTCAGAACACTGAGAAGGGCATTCTGAAACCAGGATTGTCGTGGTCAAACCAGGTTGTTTGGAAGCTTTTACTGTGCGTGGGCCTCACTAAGAGGCAGGGAATTTTGAAGCGACAGGTGCGGACAAAGGGGCGATTGTTCATAAAATGTTCTCTTACGTTCATGTTTAATCCAAGTGCAGTGCACAGCACTTAAAACACCTCTAAATTAACGAGTAGCCAACCCACTTTACAAAAATCCTTGGTCAGCTGGAACAGAGATGCATAATGCATTGAATTACACTGTGTAACAACTTTTTATTAATTTTTTGTTCCTGGGTAGTAAGTGTTATTTCCTACTTGCTTATGCCTCAAAAGTACATAAAATGGCTATTATTCCCTACAAACTTTGCTTCTTTGACCAGGACACTGATATTTAGAAATTTACCTATTTTCAATGAGAAAACGGGCAAATGTGTCTTATCGTTCACATAAAGTCAGAAAGAAAACATGAATAAAAATGTATATGTATTTATACTAAATACAAAAATGACTACAAAAGATTTACAAGTGAGCCTATGGAAACATCACAGCCAGTTATGACTTAAACTGGTTTATGACGTCCTTCCAATGAGTTTGTGAGCATAAGGCAGATTTGAAACACGGTAGGACCAACAACACTTCAGCCGTGGCTGATCATTGTTTTAATACGGTTGGCTCACACGAAATTGATTTATCTGAGACGAAGGTACTTTGCAAGCCCACTGGCTATCAACAAAAATTCGTTCATGAAGCCATCCATATATACAGACACAATTTCAACCGAGAGGATGGGTACAAACTCAGCAATCATTGGAAGGACGCCATCAACCTAAGCTGTCTGAGGCAAAGGTCAAAGCCGGTGTCTTCGTCGGACCACAGATAAAGAAGATCCTGGAGTGCAATGAATTCCCCAAGAAGCTCACTAGTAAGGAGAAAGCGGCTTGGAACAGCTTTGTCACAGTGGTTCGTGGCTTCCTGGGCAATCACAAGGTCGAAAACTATGTGGAGCTGGTTGAGACTGGTGAAGAACTACATCACAATGGAGTGTAGGATGTCCCTCAAAGTCCATATCCTTGATGCTCATCTTGATAAATTCAAGGAGAACATGGGAGCGTACGTGGAGGAGCAAGGCGAGCGCTTCCACCAGGATATACTGGACTTTGAACGCCGCTACCAAGGGCAGTATAACGAGAACATGATGGGAGACTACATTTGGGGGCTGATTTGTGAAAGTGATTTACAGTATAATCGTAAATCTCGAAAAACTACTCACTTCTAAATCTTTTGTAGTCATTTTTGTATTACTTTAGTATAAATACATGTTAATTTTGATTCATATATCGTTTTTTTCTGACTTTTTGTGAACGAAAAAGACACAAATTCGCCCGTTGTCTCATTGAAAAAAGGTACATTTCAAAATATCAATGTCCTGGTGACAAAAGCAAAGTCTGTGGGGAATAATCGCCATTTTCTATACTTTTTAGGCATAAGCAATTAGGAAATAACACTACCCAGGAACAAAAATTGTGTTACATAGTGTTATTTAATCGAGTAAAAGCTGGATTTGAGGACACCTCTTGGGAGCACGGACAGCTACGCCTATTTACAAAGTGCAGTAAAACCTTGGATTGCGAGTAACCTGGTCTGCGAGTGTTTTGCAAGACGAACAAAATGTTTAAATAAATATTACGAGTAGTACGTATACGCTTTGTCTGCCGATTGTCATGTGATCACAACTGATATACGAGTGCTTTGGCTTACAAACACGTTTCCGGAACGAATTATGCTCGCAATCCAAGGTTTTACTGTAGTGTGTTTGTATTAAAAGTTGCCTTTCACCTTACCCCCAGGAGCATGATATAAGCATGTGTCGCTTATATCATAACTGTGCTTATATATGGTGAGCTTTAATTATCTTCCATTGTATACTCTATATACTGTAGAAATAAAAAAAAAACCACGCTTTAATTAAATGTCCTGGCCGAGCTGCCCCTCCGCCTGCCCCCTTCCCCCATCGCCTCTTTCCTCCTTCCACATCCCCCGACCCTCGGCGTGGCTCCCAGACGCTTGCCGTAACGTAAGGGGACCGTGGTGATTTAGAGGCAACGTGAGTTGAGCGTGGACAATTAGAACCGTAAACGTGGAAAATTACAGCCGGAAAAAAGATTGTTTAAAAATATATTTTACATTTTCAATGATAGAATATAGTATTGCCATTAGTGTGACATACCTATGCCAAGTTTGCAGTCGATACGACATTGGGAATACGGTTGAAATTGAATTACAAGATTTTAGGATATGACAACAGACAGTAATTCATATTCTTAGTTCTTTCGGTAAAGTCACGTTGAAGGGAAACAATAAAATAATAAAATATATATAACAATAAAAATTCTCACGACGTTTCGACCACAACACAAACGGTCGTCAAAACAGACAGTAAGTTAAATTAAAGCGTGTAAAATGTTTAAAAATATTTTTGAATGTTTTATGATAGAATATAGTCTTGTCATCAGTATGACACGTTGGTATTTCAAGTTTGCAGTCGATAGCACATTGGGAAGTGGGTAAAAATTGAGTTACAAGATTTCTTTTTTGAGGATACAACAGATGGAGTGAGTTAAATAAAAGCATGTAATAATAATAACACATTTAATAACACCTTTCAGGATGTGATATAAACATCAGAATGTTGTATTTTCCAGATGTGCATGGAAAACATCAACCAATGTATTCTTCAGTGTGGCCAATGTGAGGTCCATTAGCAATCACAGAACACTTACGATGACATGCCGCTGGGTACTGGAGAAGAATGTTTCTGGGTGGTCACTGCCAAGGAACCTAAATCAAACAAGTGTGTGTTATAAACATGAATTAGCACAGTTGGCTACGTACCTACGATTAGCATGGTTGGCTACGTACGCTGTGAAAGAAGTTCGAAATACATACACGTAGGTGGCCACCACAAAATAAATAATATTAAATGAACCAAATTAATGTTAAGTCACTGCGACAAATTTCATGTAGCAGGGGGCTTAGTTCTCAGAGCACATGGTTCGCAGTCGCAGGGCTGTCGGATAAAATCTCTATATCCCTCCAGGGTTGATAAAGTGAGAACCAGTTTGTGGGAATGGTTGTCATCCAACGCAATTCATGCCAGCCACAGGAATATGGAATTTCCACAACTGGCTCACTGCTGTAAACATATGAAAATTGCTCTGTGGTCTTTGGAGCAGGAAACCATTTTGCAGAATTCATATTAGAGTTTTTTTTTTTGCGTTAGATCGCGTACATATATAAATGTGTCATTAAAACCCACCACCACCCGACACAGCCAACTAGTAAGGGTTGTCACGTAAACAGAACATGCCAATTCGTCACTAGTACAGCACACCGGTGTGTTGGAGAGCCAAGCCACAACATTTACACTGCGTACGACGTTTCGCCAGTAATTACAACTAGCTTCATCAGGCGACAGCCAGATTTGTGGAGAAGTCTTACTGTTTTGTTCCTTATATAGAGGCGTAGATGTGTTGACCACGCAGCTGCGCTGTTGCACAATGTTGGGGGGGGGGGATTACTGAGGCAACGTACATTATGCATGTGCATGATGCGAGCCATTTTAACGTGTCTTTCCTGTCTATTGTGGTTATTAAAATAGCCCTACCAACGTTAATTCCTATTGAAGTACACTGCCCTTTGTAGGCAAGCATCTAATTAATGTATTATTTGATGATTCGCTTCCACGCAGCACTAAGGCGGTAGCTATCCGAACGCTTAAAGTTATTGATTTCTTTCAAATTCGATAGATTATATAATTAGTCTTGACCAGTAGTAGCTAGTTTTGCACAAAACTTCAACATTATCACAAACAATTGAGTGTCCTTGTTGGCACGTGCTTTCTGCTACTGCTGACAGTTGTATTTGGGATAATTTAATATTTCTCTGATGTTATTTTAGTCTCGTGCTGATCATTCGTCCTGTTTGCCCAACATAACATTTACCACATGTGCAGTTAATCCTGTACACACCTTCTGTTGATAGCTTCGGTAATACATCCTTTGTACCAGATATTAATTTCAGTTTTTTATGTACCGTGCCAAATCTGACTCGGATGTTTTGTTTTTCCAAACATCTGGCTAGTTTATCAGTTACTCCCGCAATGTACGGTATTTAGATCGTTTTAATGACTTGGGCAGTTTCAATGCTCTTGTTATTTGATTTGGTTTTGGTATTCAATGCCCTGTTGATTTGTGCATCATTGTAACTGTTAATTTGCAACGCTTCTTTAACATGTTGAATTTCACTTCTCAGACTGTCACCATCTGACACTTTCTTAGCTCGATGAATGAGCGTCTTTACATGAGCAGATTTCTGTGCGGGGTGATGGTGTAACTCTGCATTCAGATAGGCGTCAGTATGCGTTTTATTTCGGTAAACACTGTGTTATTTTACCATTTCTACCCCGTCCAAGCAGAATATCCAGAAATGGTAGAGTTCTGTCAACTTCCACTTCCACGGTGAACTGGATGGATGGGTTTTGCAAGTTGAGATGATTGAGAAATGAGTTCAGTGTATTTTTGCCATGTGGCCAGACCACCAATATGTCATCCACATATCTCTGATAGCGAATTTGTACATGTAAGATTTTGAAACAAAAGCAATAGCTTCAAGCACACTAAAACCATGCGTTTGGTTTAGATATGTGGATGACACATTGGTGGTCTTCCAACCATCACTAGAAATTCTTTGTTGATCAGTGTTTTAATACGTCTCATGCAAACCAGATATGCCTACCGCTTTTTACAGTTTTTTTGAGATGCATTTAGGCACTATATAAACCCCAGTTGTAATGTATGCACGTTACAGCAATGGAAGAGTTGGCTACCGATCGAGTTTGGACTTGCGGAAGAAGCAGTTGTAGTATTCTTGGGGCTGCCGCGGAAGATCTGCATGCATGATGTTTGGGAGATGCAGGAACTTTAACAGCCTCTCCGAAAAGTGCGTCTTGGTCATTGGATGGATCTGCAAGTACATGAAAAAATGAGGCTACAGTTAACTTCCAATTGTGTGTCTATGTGTCCAGATCGACTCGGCCTTACAAGAGTTGTTGTACTTCCCCCGCACCTCCGATTAGCACGGTTGGCTAAGTATGTTGCGAAAGAAATTCAACATACATCCACAGGCATATTCTCCGCATTTCGGATTTTACCCTTCTTGTGAATTTTTTTTTTTTACGAATGTATTGGTTTATTCTTAGCTATTTCTCACTCGTCGTAGGTTAGTGGCTCGGTACCCACGTGATTACAAACACGTCGGGCAAGTAAACCAATGACTTTAGAAAACAATTAAAAGATGACAAGTTCGACATCTTCTTATGATCTTGTTACTGTATTTGATCAAATCTGATTGTTGGCATTAGCCAAGCTAGTGTGGAAGTGAGGACTCCACATATATGGCTTCATGGAGTAGACTATGCAGCAGAGGATTGGCAACTACACTGTGCTGATGAGTCCTAATGAGGAAAATACCTATCCGTAGCTGTCTTTCACTGCACGACTGCTGCTATTTTGGTGACCTAAAATGAGAGGACCACAATGCACTTTTTTTGAAAATGCTGATGGTGTTTTGCATAGGCACAATGGCTGTGTGCTTTGTTTGAGGCTATGTATGAAGCCAGAGAGGATGCTTACCTGCAGTGGCATTCTGAGGTTGATCTCCTCTGCGTAGCATTGGAGCACTTGCCATGGTGCATGAAGCTTCAGATAATGGATGTTAATCTTCTCCCCTTGCATGATGTCCTGCAATGTATAATATATTGCACACATGCAGAGGCTGATGGATGGTTTACTTTTGTCACATAACGTACTTAATTTACTGTATATCTCCCTTGAAATACAGCATGCCCATTAAATAATCATAATTAGAAAGCAGTTTAAACTGTGTGGTTGTGTGAATAATAAAGTAATTTAACACGCTAAGTTTTCACAACCAATATTCCCATTTCATCATTTATTTTTGGGTTAGGCCACAAAGCGATATGGCCAAATTAATGACAAATACGTGGCCTAATCCAAAAAGTATGTATGAATCATGAAAGATAAAACTGTTTTCCAAAAATAATAAAAATATGAGCGATCTTCAGCAGAATGTGACAATGACAGCCAGGATGTTGCCCAACACCTGGGACTCTCTCCCAAGTCTCGATAAGATGTTAGTTGCTAATGACACTGCAGACATGTGGAGATTTAGAGGGGTGAGACTCTGATGATAACATATTTATGCTATAGTACGTGTGTGTGCGTGTGTGGTTTTAAAGACCTTCCTCAAACTGTGCCATGTCCTTTCTCAAAGACGTTGACGATTATGGCCATCTATGAAGCACTAGCCATGATATTACGCAAGCATTTTGCATTAAATACTCCCAGTTTAATCAAATTGTTCAATTTGCTTATGTACCTAATTCAGTCTTCCCCAGTTTCTTGTACCTGTAATTCTCACAGCCAAAAAAATAGATCGTCTCGTTTTCTCATGACATGGCCATGAAATCGAACTTGCCTTGCTCGAATTATTCTTATTCTTGGTTCTTTCGGTAAAGTCACGTAGAAGGGAAACAATAAAATATAAAACAATAAAATTCTCACGACGTTTCGACTCCAACACAAGCAATCATCATCAGGTGTGAAAACCACAGCAAGAAAATTTGAAAAAAAAAAACCCACTTTTTTCAAATTTTCTTGCTGTGGTTTTCACACCTGATGATGATTGCTTGTGTTGCAGTCGAAACGTCGTGAGAATTTTATTGTTTTATATTTTTATTATTTTATTGTTTCCCTTCGACGTGACTTTACCGAAAGAACCAATATGAATCCCTGCAGTCACGAAAGCTTTAAATCAAAATCGAATTATTCTTATTTTATTTTGTACCTGCTATCCATAAGCCGTGTATGTTACTTGTCTTGTCTGTCCATGACGTTAACATCCTTCTTAAAAATGGCATGTCTGTTGCTTCTAGTTTACTAATTTAAATTATATATGTAGACACCCAGAATAATTTGTGCATTTCTCTTACTTGATTAAAAGTATTAACTTTCCTTTTAAACTTAAGTTTGATGATATCCATTTTTATAGTGTACTGTATAGAATAAATCTGTCTAATTTGTAGTATGTGGTGAACACGTGTGAGAAATCAATAAACTACAAGGGCTGACTGCATTCCAATTTGCAATAATGAATGATGTACAAGGGTTTTTTTTATTTTTAACCTCTCCCACCAGATGAAGCTAACACGATTATACTACCATAATCAATAAACAACAATGGGTACATTGCCCCAGTAAATGCTTACACGTGTGAGGAATTTTTACATTAAAAAATAAAATATGAATCTGTAAGTGGTTACTGTATGGTGGCCAACAGAGGGTACTGCATACAAATCCATTATTGTACTGTACTTATATGTTCCACTATCTATGCTCCCCACTGTCACCAACCCGCACTGCCCAGCGTGGCGAATAATGGTCAAGTAATTCTCACAATCAGCATGGCATGATGAGGCTTTCATCCAGCAGTGAATTGCCAAAGGGCTACACATGTTACATTATGAGTAACTGCACGGACACAATGCATTATGTGAGCCACAGTTTCCAATCCAGTGTGCATCCCGTCTGGTAGCTGTCACACGAGTCAAGTCTAGCAACATTCCAGTTCGCTGGATGCTGTGACAGAGGATACCTCCTCTATTAGCAGTCCGATTTTGCTCAGGTTCGTGAGGAAGATCTTGCGGAGGCTGTCGTGCTCGTCCATGGATTGTGGAGGCACCGTCTCCTCGTTTTCCATCTCCTGATACGTGTTCTTGGTCTTCAGGAGCTTCTTGTTGCCTTCCATGACCTCCTCCCAAACCAGCATGAAATCTGAAGGCACGAAAGTCAAATTCTGGGCTCGATTTTGAGTATTTTTCAACATTAAATTTTGTTATCATCATTATTATACTCTTATATAAGCGCACAACTTTATCTGTGATGAACGCTGCACTTCCCGTCGTTTTTATGCAGGGGGCGCTACAAATCTACGCGCCCCCTGCATGAACGATGGAGGTGCAGGGACAGACGTTCGATTACGTTGGAATCGATCGGCAGACGGCGGTCTTCTCGCACGGCCAGCAGCTCTATGTCGCCTTATCTCGATCCCGCAATCCCAAACAGGTGAAAGTCCGCATCGAACCGAACCCCCAGCAAGGCCATCTACTTAACGACGAGAGAAAATTCACACGAAATGTCGTTTTCAATGAAGTCTTCCAGATGTAAAATGATATAAGCTTTTAATTAAGAAATACAATTATCTAATTCAAAACATAATACAATTCAAAGATGTTTCATTTTAAAACTTCAAAACGGAGCATTGGGTGCTTGCGTGAATGCGTCGTTCGTGTGCAATTTTTTTATTTTCTAGCCGAAGGCCGTAAACACATTATTTTATTGTGAACAGAAGAGGTAGCACTTTAGATACTATATGTAGCTTGATATGCATTTTCCAGAATTGCACCAGAAATATGACAATTTCTAATATTAGCGTTTGAGCTGATTTTACATTTATAAAAATTGCAGTGAATATTTAAATTTACAAGGCTTGCAATGGCAATACGCCTCACTCAATACACCATTGGGCATGGGTTGATTATAGATAATTAGTTGCTTCCGTAATTCCCTGTAGAGATGTCCAATTCTAATCAATTGAAAGAATTTAACTTTTTAACCCATGCAAACTGGATGAGTATGCAATTGTGTCAACACGTTAGGCTGTCTTCCTGCTGCCAAAATTCAAGAACACCATTTGCATTGAGCTTTTCCCCTGCTACACTACAGTGAAGGAAAAAAGTATTTGATCCCCTGCTGATTTTGTACGTTTGCCCACTGACAAAGAAATGATCAGTCTATAATTTTAATGGTAGGTTTATTTGAACAGTGAGAGACAAAATAACAAGAAAAATCCAGAAAAATGCATGTCAAAAATGTTATAAATTGATTTGCATTTTAATGAGGGAAATAAGTATTTGACCCCTCTGCAAAACATGACTTAGTACTTGGTGGCAAAACCCTTGTTGGCAATCAGAGGTCAGACGTTTCTTGTAGTTGGCCACCAGGTTTGCACACATCTCAGAAGGGATTTTGTCCCACTCCTCTTTGCAGATCTTCTCAAAGTCATTAAGGTTTCGAGGCTGACGTTAGGCAACTCGAACCTTTAGCTCCCTCCACAGATTTTCTATGGGATTAAGGCCTGGAGACTGGCTAGGCCACTCCAGGACCTTAATGTGCTTCTTCTTGAGCCACTCCTTTGCTGCCTTGGCCGTGTGTTTTGGGTCATTGTCATGCTGCAATACCCATCCACGACCCATTTTCAATGCCCTGGCTGAGGGAAGGAGGTTCTCACCCAAGATTTGGCGGTACATGGCCCCGTCCATCGTCCCTTTGATGCGGTGAAGTTGTCCTGTACCCATAGCAGAAAAACACCCCCAAAGCATAATGTTTCCGTTTCCACCTCCGTGTTTGACGGTGAGGATGGTGTTCTTGGGGTCATAGGCAGCATTCCTCCTCCAAACATGGCGAGTTGAGTTGATGCCAAAGAGCTCCATTTTGGTCTCATTTGACCACACCATTTTCACCCAGTTGTCCTCTGAATCATTCAGATGTTCATTGACAAACTTCAGACGGGCATGTATATGTGCTTTCTTGAGCAGGGGGACCTTGCGGGCGCTGCAGGATTTAGTCCTTCACGGCGTAGTGCGTTACCAATTGTTTTCTTAGTGACTATGGTCTCAGCTGCCTTGAGATCATTGACAAGATCCTCCCGTGTAGTTCTGGGCTGATTCCTCACCGTTCTCATGATCATTGCAACTCCACGAGGTGAGATCTTGCATGGAGCCCCAGGCCGAGGGAGATTGATAGTTCTTTTGTGTTTCTTCCATTTGCGAATAATCGCACCAACTCTTGTCACCTTCTCACCAAGCTGCTTGGCAATGGTCTTGTAGCCCATTCCAGCCTTGTGTAGGTCTACAATCTTGTCCCTGACATCCTTAGAGAGCTCTTTGGTCTTGGCCATGGTGGAGAGTTTGGAATCTGATTGATTGCTTCTTTGGACAGGTGCCATTAATACAGGTAACAAGCTGAGATTAGGAGCACTCCCTTTAAGAGTGTGCTCCTAATCTCAGCTCATTACCTGTATAAAAGACACCTGGGAGCCAGAAATCTTTCTGATTGAGAGGGGGTCAAATACTTATTTCCCTCATTAAAATGCAAATCAATTTTTGACATGCGTTTTTCTGGATTTTCTTGTTGTTATTTTGTCTCTCACTGTTCAAATAAACCTACCATTAAAATTAGACTGATCATTTCTTTGTCAGTGGGCAAACGCACAAAATCAGCAGGGGATCAAAAACCTCTTTCCCTCACTGTATATGCATGAACTGTTCAAAGCAATTACTCACCGATTCTTGTTTTGCCATCTCGAAAAAAACAGCCCGTTCCAAGTGAGCCCGGAGTTGGGGGATTGGAAGGTGTCCTGTCCTCCTGAGACACACAAATCACATCGCACCAGCCACGCTAATTTAAAGTGTACATGTACAGCTCTTTGTCAATTCACTGCAGCATGAAGGCCCACTCACACCGAGCAGGTCGTGGATGGTATTTGACCGTACTGCACCACGCTGGTCAATGTGGTATGGTGAAAGAGGGGAGCGTATAAGTGAAAGCATAAAAGAAGAGTACAACAATTGATTATGCTGTATTGCCCACTATTGCCCACCACATAGCTACACAGCCCATAACAACCTGCTATGCATGATGGTCACGTGTCCAAACACTATGGAGGCTTACAACTGTTTAGCTTTTGAGATATGAGATCGGGTGAATCATGGGTGATTTGGTAAAAAGTAAAGTCGATCATAGTATTGTGATTACAGTAAACCAACTGCACATATTAACAAGTTCTGAATTGTGCCAAGAAGCTGCTAGCATAATCGGGTTCAATATTGGTTAAAACACAAAGGTGAACAACAAAATATATTGCCATTGTGGTGTAGAAAAGTCACGCTGGTAAACTGAACATTAAAAATACATAGCTCAAACTATACATGACCAATGTTTGGAGGCAGCCAGTAAACATTTAAATTACGTGCTAAAGAGTGAAATCGAGGATATTTTAACAGACATCGATTGCAGTTGCATTTCATGAATAGCAAACCCCGAATGGGAAAAATCAGTTGTAGAGTATATTATTTTATATTTAACAGTCAATGGACATATAATAGTCTCTTGTATGATGGTCTCATATTGAGGGTATATGCGACACCGCAGCCATAGCCTTGCTGGGTGTGGTTCTGCCTATGGCAGACCATACCATGACAGTGCCAAAGTGGAATATTACCTCTAAATGATTACCCAATATAATTCAACTCAGCGGACATCACGAGTCTGATGAATGGTCCGTGTATAATTGTGAAAAGTACAATTACTTTTGTCTAGCCAGCATATGTTCTTGGTGAAATTAAATGCATAACCTGCAGCATACCTAATAAGAGTACAGAATATTGCATTTAATGCATTGCAGAATATATTACACTACTTTCTACACTATGGTATACTCTATACCCTGCAGCGCAATCTTGTCAACAACATTCTACATGAACACAGTACTACAACAAATAATGCAGTAATATGGTCTACAATATTCAAATACAATAATAATGTACAATCCTTTGTCAAAACACTGCTGGATGACGGCCTCCCCCCAAATCACGCAGATCATGGGAATTGTTTGTCTATGCTTCAACATAGTGGTCAGTGCTGGTTGGTAAAGGGACTGCGGTGACCAAGGACAAAGTCAGGCATCACTCGCCACTGATGTTATCCGTGCGTGGGAATCGAACCCAGACCACCCAGATCACTGCACAGTGCGCTGAGCAGCGCAATACTACTCCCCATAAATAAATATACAGAAGTAAAACTAAACTATGAGTCCGTGGAGTATAAAGCAATGTCACACGTTATGAAAGATTACAGCCTATAAAGCTAAGATGAAAACAGTCAGGATGGGTGATGACTGTATATGGGCCATTTTACACAGCACAAGCATTCCTGGAATGTTAATCGAACATATCATCTTAACATCTATAGCATAGTTTTGTTGATAAGCGACCATATTTCACAAACGTTCCGAAATTAACTAGGTGGTGTTGTGGTTAACTCACCGGGCTATGAAACTGGCAAGCTAAGTTTGATTCCTGGCCATGACCAACCCGCTCTGACCAGCAAAGTGAAGAATTGTCAATTATCCCCCAATGACTTAATCAATCAGTGGATTTACAAAGGGCTGCAACCATTTCCTCAATTAAGATGATCTCTTTGCGATAGATATTCATGCAGTTAAAAAACAAATACGATTCACGATCCAAATGCTGTAAGAGGATAATAATAAGGATTTTAATTATTTAAGTGCTTCTAAGGGTCTTAAAAAGAAAAAACAGATTAATGAAGCATATACAACTCTGACTGAATAAGTTACTTTATGAATTGTTGCACTGCAATAACTACCGATTATGCTGCAGTGTTGTTAATTTTGTTTTTATAATGGAATTATTTTTTTGCAAAGTACAAAAACCAACAGGTTATTACAGTACTACATTTATTAATAGACATAAATCTATAATTTCTGCAAAATCTTGAACGGAAAAATACACCACACCATGTCCATCTGCTATATTGCTGATTTAGCGTAACAAAATGTGAATTTAAGCGGCTGGAGTCAGTTATAAAAAAATATACAAAATGCATCTAAGTCTTCAAACATACACCACACATTTCAACTCACAGTTACAGCTCTGTAGCCCATTACATGAATCCTTTGTTAAAATACATAAACAAAAACCTTACCGATTAAATGCACAGAGTGTAAATTATTTACCTAACCTATAACGTACACCTTACTACAGTCCACAAGAGCGTACCTGGAAGAGGCGGGCAATGTGGAAATTGGAAGAAAACGACGTCCTCATTGTGGGCCACGGTCTCGGCAGCTATGCGTGGCTATGTCTGTGCTACTGAGACTGCGTTGAGCAACAATGTCAGGTAGCTGAGATGATGAGCATGAGTCTAGAAGCCACCGCTGCCCGACTGCGAAAGAGAATTCCGCTGTGCACCACGCCTGGTTTAATATGATGCTGGTATGCGGCTCCCGGACAGCCCCACTGTCCAATGCAGGACTACAAAAGTCGCACACGTTGCTTAATTTGGCTGGCTGGCTGGCCCTGTGCCACGGCACAAGCCTTGACGCATACAGTGCTAAGGCGGAGTGCTGCATGCAAGGGCGTTGCCTTTACATTTGCAGAAGGCTGCATGCACCACGGGGGCTAACGTTGCCGGTGCACAACCTCGCACGTGCACCCACTTCTCACACAAATTACATGTTCGTCAGCCAGGTATGGTGGTTGGTTACAACACGCCTTTATTCATATTAGGTTTGCATGTCGTGGAATTTTTTTGTATGATGGGGAAATTAATTGGCGTGCCTGTTTTGTAGCAGAGCCAGTAAATGTATTTATTTAGCCGGGAGATCTGTGAAAAAAAGTTTATAGCTCATCCGATTTCCCCAGGATAAATATTCTGATTCTGAAACAAAGGCCTGTTGGGAGACAATTCATTGCCACTAATGCAAATGTAGTCTGGGTTAGTATATCAAGTAATTCATAATACTATGTGAAAAATGTTATATTTGTGCTACAGTTAGTTGTATTTTTGTTACTGGTAATGAATCAATTCACGGCGTTGTTCTGGTGCCATGGAAATTTTAACGAATGCTGTGCCCAGCAACAGGTTTAAGAATATATGCTTGCAATGTTTACATTCAGCACTTGTGGGAAATTGCAATTAAAGATTGAAATGCGAATGCGGTGAGTGGCTCGCGATCAGACGGTTGCGAGCTCAAATCCCGGGTGCAAGTTGACTGCCCATCATCCTTCTGGGATCGATAAAATAATCACCACAGTGGATGTTCTATGGTTATACTTGCCCCCGTCATAGGAATGTGGAATATCCACCACTGGCTCAAGGCTGTGCACGGAAGATGAGCACTGCCTCAATGCTCATGAGCAGGAAATAGCTTTTGACGTTTTTTTTACTCTTGGAGAAAATACAATAATTAATTAATTTTCTCACACCCACCAGGAGCCATGCATCCTCGTGATCTGAATGCAGCAGGTCTTCTCCATCATTTGGACTGCTTGCACTCCACATTTCTATGGACTGGTCCTCCGAGCAATGGGCCATTGCTCACAAAACAATCCTGCGAATAACGGACACATGAAACTGCACACATACACACACACACTGCGACCAATGACCCAAGTTTACTTCTCGCTGTCACAATCCTCAAAAGTTTGCTTGATGTTTACTGCGGGCAATGCCAGAGCAGCAAAATGTTGAATAGTACTGTGTGGTGCGGAGTTTGGTTCAATCACTCTCTGTGTTTCCCATATGAACATCTTTGGGAAAGCCTGGTGTCCTGTTTAGATCTGCATATGGATTCAAAAACGTAAATACGTTATGGAGCAACAGAGCATGCTAATGCATTTCACATCGAAAGCTTAAAATTTACATTTCAAACACTGAACTGTCTTTTTTTAACACTATAATTGCTGAGCACATGGCCCAAAGGACCAACGCGTGAAGGGGCCAGCAAAAGACAGCACCATCGATGGCACAATGGACAAGCGTGCAAAATCACGTTTCTTGAATCGAGCGAGGCGCGATTGTTAAGAACTTTTGAAAGCAGACAAATAGGGAGGCAATTGCATAAGTGGGGAGCGGTGGTGGTTGAGTAGTGTGTCAATCTGATGGAAATAAGAGGGATCTGTCCGTGAATTGCATCTTGTTAGTGCTGCAACCCTTCTAGATGAGAGGGTGTCACTTGACCACACTGATCAGTCAGTGCTTGTTGTTGAAGGCGCAGAGCATAGACGTGGAAGCGTAGTGCAGTACAATACTATAGATTTGCTACACTGCCCACAACATAGCTATTACAGTACTCTGTTGTTGTATCACATTACTGTATTAAATTATATTGCACAATTAAGTACCGTAACCACGTATACTGATGTATGTACACGAAGACGTTTAAAAAAACTAACCTCATATACCGATCATCATTACAGAACTGTACTATGTACTATATACAGTTGTGTGTTTGCATAAGTCGATATATAAAAAAGCATCCTTATTTATACGTACCGGATGTAATTTTAAAGTTAAAGTACTGTACACGTATCTAAAATAAATAAAAACTGGCTTATTTATGGCATAATGGTTTGACACGCAAGACTCGATGGATAATTAACGTTGCAGTCAAAAGTAAGATTGTCCGTGGTATTATTTAGTTCATGATAGGTGGAAAATTTATAATTCCTCTGAATCACAGTCGCATAACAAACTGGCCGACAATTTAAAGAAAAACCCGACCACTAACTCCACCATCGTCGGCTAATGATTTGCTCGAGTCTTTAATGAAGTGAAACTCGTCCAAATATCGTTAACAATAACATAAGTCGCAATAACATAACGAGTGGAAACACACAAAAGGCGTAATCCACAAAGCTCATCTCTAGAATCCACACAATATCTCATTTGTTCGTAGGCTTCATTAACGTTACACGGTTTCTAGTTTGATTTACTAACGCAGTTATACTGTACGCCTACAAAGTACAGCGAATGCAGTTGTTAAACAATTACTATTGTGATCTAACATATAAATTGGGATTTTTGTTGTCGTTGCACAGTTTAGTTCGCAGCGTAAACAAATGGTTGCTTTTTTTCTGGAAGATTTTATTGTTTTTTGTAGGCGATGTCTCTCAATTTGTGTACGGTAAATTATAAATGTATCTTGTAATTTTATTGTTTGTTGCGGTTGCACCCGCATCAAGAGCCGAATGGCTCACAGGGTTATTACAAATAAATGGAAACTGAACACAACATCATTGCCCAACCTTATCACAGACCAATTCCTACCTTATCGGGCAACACGTGTCTCCTTATAAATCTCAACGTTCATCCTACAAAGTCCCATCACGAGGGAGAAACACAAAGACGCGTTTATTTATTTTAAATGTGCCCGCATAAAAAAATATTCTGTACGTCTGATGGAGCCGACGACTCAAATTGCCCTGCACAAGAAGAATTCGCCGTATGGATTGACGGGTTATATACGGCAACGTTATACTGCAGTTGAGCTTTGTAAATCCACTTGCTGGATGATGAGGGCCTCATCACCCCCCCACACAGCCGTGTGGGTTGATCATACTTCACCTCGTTTTGTCATGGGATGTGGCTCAGGATGCGTCTCGGCACTGATTGTAAGCCCGCGCAAAACTTTACCTCAACGGCTCACAAACAAAACACAACAACAAAAAATGTCACCACCGGCACTGCTAAAATTCTCAACGTTTGCGCCACAATTTCTTAATTTGTTACTAATGTACCGGCGGGATTTTTTTTTGTTTAAAAAAGAAAAAAAATCGTAGACGCAATCAAATAAACTATTGCTTGCTGCCACTAAACACCTCGTGTTATTTAATAACAGCTTTCTCTCTCTCTAAAAAAAAATTCAGTACAACAATAATAATAATTTACGCACATTTCATGGAGAGCCAACCGGGTAGACACGTGGCAGAGTTGGCAGCCCACAAAGTTAAAAGTTCCCACCACCCACCCCGTGTAGCCTTCACAGACTGCCGGGGCAAGTGCCGTTGAAGGCCGTGGCACGGCACGCCGTGGGTGGCCGGCCGGAACCCACGCCCGGCCGTCTTTGTCTCACCCAGTGGCGATTTTTTTATATTTTTTTCACACTTGTACCAGCTACACATTTGAGGCCCTAGTCAAACGAGTGTAGGCCCAGGACCACAAATACAAAGATCCAACCCCCCCGTATAGTCTTAACATAATGTTGGGGCAAGTGTCGTTAGCGAGCGACTAATATGAAGGCCGTGGCACGGCACACCTTGGGAGGGTGGGTGGCACCCACGCCCGGCCGTCTTTGTCTCACCCAGTGGCGATGTTTCACACACTTGTACCAGCTACACATTTGAGGCCGAGTCGACCTAGGGGAGGCCCGGGACCGCGCCCCACTAAACCACGAGCCCAGGGCTCTACCCGGTATCGCGAGTCGTAGGCATGGGGGGCTGTAACAATATAAACACTTATTCTTAGTTTTTTCGGTAAAGTCACGTTGAAGAGAAACAACAAAATAACAAAATATATATAAAACAATAAAAAATTCTCACGACGTTTCGACCATAACTCAAACGGTCATCATCAGGTGTGTCGGTTTGCATAAATTTATGCAAACCGACACACCTGATGATGACCGTTTGAGTTATGGTCGAAACGTCGTGAGAATTTTTTATTGTTTTATATATATTTTGTTATTTTGTTGTTTCTCTTCAACGTGACTTTACCGAAAAAACTAAGAATATGAATTACTGCAGTCACGAAAGCTTTAAATCAAAATATAAACACTTGTCAACCTTCTGTTGCTTTCACACCTGATGATCATTGCTTGTGTTGCAGTCGAAACGTCGTGAGAATTGTATTGTTTTATATTTTTATTATTTTATTGTTTGCCTTCTACGTGGTGACTTTACCGAAAGAACCGCGAATATGAATCCCTGCAGTCACGAAAGCTTTAAATCAAAATATTCTGTTGCTTTACAAAAAAGGGATCTACGTTGGTGTAGTGCTGCTTGTTGCTGGCCGCTGGACGTTCAAGCAATCGTGTTCATTAAACAAATTATTTTTTTAAAACTTAAGTCAAATCCAATTCAGGCCATTCCAGCATGTGATAAAGTCTTTGGTGATGCACAACATTAATGTCTTAAGTTACTGTCGTTCATTAAAAGAAAACGAGATACGGGAAAAGCATGTTATTGGTATTTTTTTTATTACATCACGAATAACATAGGTACAGTGTTCTGCAAATATTCAATATCCGTTAAGGATGTGTAGTCTCACTGTACACTATTACCAAAATATAACCAACAGCATTTACCATATCATTTGCAACACGATTGTCTCAAAATACAAATTAAGCAAATTAAGCCGTCTACTTCCTGTGTAATTTTAAGACATTGTATGATTCGGCATCATAACAATTGAACCTTGTGACGGGACCCCGGGATTCCCATAAGCCCCCGGCTCTCGCATAAACCGCGTTGCGACATCATTTT